GGGGGGGGGGGGGGGGGCAATGCTAGCTAGCTGCCCCGGCTTCAAGAGGCCACACAGATCAGCTGTGATAAATGATACGGTGTGGTTTTTTTGTTTTTTTGTTGTTGTTGGTTGAATTCGCTGTGTCCATTTTTTTTTTTTCTCCCTACTCTATGGTTTTATGAGCTCACGCAGCTCGCAGATTGAACCCACATCCCTCTTCCTTGTTCGCGGCGCTTGTTAGCCGTAGCTCGATTTGTTTACACCGCGGATTTGCCAGCTACGCAGTTCAGTTTTTAGCCATTAGCCGCACTTCTGATCGACTTCATATGCGGCCTTTTTTTTTTTTTTTTTTGACAGAACCATGAAAGATGAGTCTGATGTAGCTCGTGCAGGACCCAGGCACAAATACACACACAGCCCGATGTCATTTTTGGGAATGACTAGACGTGAACGACTAGTAATGTGGCTGTAGGGGGGGTGCATCTGCCATTATCAATCACTAACCTTTGTCTGCCTTACCAACTATTACCCTGTCTGTTAGCCTGCGCAGTGTGAATACTGCATGTGAGCTGAATGCACATCGTTGTGTCCTTAATGATAAAGAGAGTCAGAGGTTCGCTGCAATAACTGGATTATTTTTTTTTTAGTTGTGCAAATGAACAAAAGAGAGGTGATTGTGCATCTCAGAGAAATGCCCTGTGTTATTTCTATTTCATTTTTTTTTTTATTGTATGGCCTTGCTCTATGCTACAGCTTTGTGCATTGAGCTGCCTGTTTAGAAAATGGTGTGTGTGTAGCTATATATGTTTGCCTGTCTGTCCAGATGAAGAGGCTCCTGCAGCAGCTGCAGCAGAGATGGCTATTGAGGAGTCCGGCCCTGGAGCTCAGAACAGTCCCTACCAGCTTCGCCGCAAGACCCTGCTTCCCAAGAGAACCGCCGCTGCCTCTGCCACCGCCTCTGCCTGCCCCAGCAAGGGCCCAATGGAGGTTAGACAGACACATTGAAGTGCAGTTTTTTTTGTGTGTATTGACTGCAAGCGTGCATGTGTACAGACTTGAGTCAGTGTATGTTTGTGTATGAGAGAGAGAATTGCTGATTGATTGTGTCCTTCTCTGAAGGAGCAGTGATTTTGTGACAGTGCAGTAAATTTCCCAGTGGTTACTTAGTGCTTGAATCTTGGCATGGAGTTGATATCTTATTCCCCCTCTTTTACAGGGAGCTTCCACTTCATCAACAGAGGCCTTTGGCCATCGAGCCAAGCGGGCACGAGTGTCCGGTAAGAGCCACGACCTGCCAGGTGTGTGTTAAATCTCCGCAACTGGGGCAAGGAGAGTGTTAGCTTCTCTCCTTTTATTTATTTATTTCTTTTGAAGCTTTATTGATTTTTCTGTGTGTGCTGGTAAATCTTGTTATTTTGCAATCCATTAAATAGCATGACTCCATAGTTTAATGTGCTCGGAGTGAAAAGATTACAAGCTTACATTGTGTGTGTCTGTGTGTGTCTGTATTTGTGTGTTTTTAGCAGCCCCAGCAGAGCAATATCTGCAGCAGAAGCTTCCAGATGAGGTTGTTTTGAAGATCTTCTCCTACTTACTGGAACAAGACCTCTGTCAGGCAGCTTGTGTCTGCAAGAGATTCAGCCAGCTAGCCAACGACCCCATCCTATGGTCAGTGCTGTTGAAGAAACGGAAACGTATCTGTTCCTGTTTCAAATGGCATTAAAGCAGACAACTGAAATTCGTTTTATGTGCTATGTAATGTTCTAGGAAGCGTCTATACATGGAGGTGTTTGAGTACACGCGTCCCATGATGCACCCTGAGCCAGGCAGGTTCTACCAGGTCAGCCCAGAGGAGCATGAACACCCAAACCCCTGGAAGGAGAGCTTCCAACAGCTGGTGAGTCTGCCCTCCAGGTTTTCTGTGTGTTTTATTGTGAAGAAGTGCTCTCTAAAGTGCTTAAAACTTGGTTAATTTGATTGTCTCCTTACATTTTCTGTCTGTAAATAAAAAAAACATTGTGCAGCTCTGCATAGTCATGTTTGGCCTTGCAATAATATCCATGTCACTTACTAGGGGGTAATAATAATATCACAATATGTACTGGGAGATAGGGAAGCATAGCTATCACCTGACTATATAACACTGACAAGTGCATGGTAAAATGTGCTTGATTAAGTAACAGTAGGCAGTTAAAAGAAAAACAACAGTCAGAGACTTGGAAAGTGCTTTTACTTAAGTGCCGGTTTAATCTCTCGGTTTTAATGCTATTATTTTCTGGACCACCCACAGGCCACTCTATCAGAATTTCTCAAAAGCCGTTCCTTAGCATGTTGTAATGATTGTAATTTTTAGTCAAACTATTATGACCAGTAACTGTGAGAACTATTGTTGTGCTCCTTTTTTTTTATTATTTATTTGTATGGAGTATTTCTCAGAAGTTCAGTCTCACAATAAGTGCTTTCGGAGGTTCATCCATAGACAGCAGCCTAATATGTGTACATGTGATCACAATGTTGTTATTGCTTTGTCAACAATAGTGTGTAAAATTCCTTACCCTGGAATTAATCTAACAATCTCATTATGTCAATCCAGGGCTTTTCTCAGACTAAACATTGTAAGGTCCCCAGGCTATTGGAAGACAAACATGTTTGCTTTATTAATTATAACACAGCAGGAAAAGTTCAAAGTGAAAACAAAATATTGATTGCACTTTGTTTTTTGTAATTATCACCTGACTCCTGAGGTTTTTGCAGGAGTCCTACTTACTGTTAGCAGCTTGTAATTGTGATGTCTACAGATTAAAGTATGCAGTGTTTTGTTGTTGCATCTATTTTTTGTTCCCCCGCTTATGTTGTTCTGTGATGTTTGGTTTGCGGGTTGCATGTATTTATGGATGCCAGGAGTTCCTAACTTGGGGTTCACAAAAGGATTAACAGGACAGGAACCAGAAAAAACCTGTTTCTGCCACACTAAATTAGACTCATTTTTACAGTTTTAAGCCCTCTTTTCCCAGCGACAGTTTTATAGTTTACGTCTTCAATAAGTGTTCACAACCAGTAAACATATGCAATAGGTAATGTAAATATTGCTTTGTTTTAAAGGGTCACAAGAACCACAGATGTGCACTTCTTGTGTAGCACATTCTTTACTCAGTGTTTTCTATTTAAAAACTTTCCTTTATCACCTAAAGGAACGGCCTGTTTAAGACACACATTTTTGCTTTACTGGAAAAGGCTTGTTGGTTGTATTAGGACCATGTTAACATTTGATATTTGATGTGATCATCAGCAATGTATTTTGACCTCAATGTTTTCTGTCTTTCAGTACAAAGGTGCTCATGTAAAACCAGGCTTTGCTGAGCATTTCTACAGTAACCCCGGCAGATACAAAGGCAGAGAGAATATGCTGGTAAGTCAAAACGTTATTGCTAAAGAGAAAGCCTTCAGGATTTATTTCACTGGCCACCGTGCTGACATTTATGCAAAGCACAGCTAATGTAAACATGTGCTTGCTTTCCCCAACTGCCTCCTTATGAATTGTAGATGTGTATATTGTACCTGAAAGTGTTTGTGCCTTTCTCCTGCAGTATTATGACACCATTGAGGATGCGCTGGGTGGAGTACAAGAGGCCCACTTTGACGGTCTAATCTTTGTCCACTCTGGCATCTATACGGACGAGTGGATTTATATAGAGTCCCCCATCACCATGATTGGTGCAGGTAAGCATGTTCCCTTCACTGAAAAGTACTTAAGACATTACCTTGATGCTTGTGCCGCATGCAATCAATATCTCTCTTAAGTTGGAATACGCTCTCAGCGGTGCTCATGTCCATATGTATGAGGGTTTTTAATGAGGTTTTTTTTTTCTGCTTTTCCCCCAGCTCCTGGTAAAGTAGCAGACAAGGTGGTGATAGAGAATACTAGAGATTCAACGTTTGTCTTCATGGAGGGCTCAGAGGATGCCTACGTGGGATACATGACCATCAAGGTAAAACATAGATCTCACCTTTCCCTTGATTTTTTAAAAAAGACAAAAAAAAAAGTGGCTTGTATTAAAATACCCTATTGTTATAGTCCCATCACAGGGCTCCAATGTTAAGCTATGTGGTCTCAATGGAAAAGTCCAGCGTAGTCTAATTTATTATTTATTCATAGGTGAGGATAAAATTATTTCCCAAATGGAGAGTCCTGTGTTTCTGTGTGAACATGCTGTAGGTAAGCAAGAATCACAAATAAGCCAAACAACAAATACGGACCTTGTAATGATGCTCATGGGCTCCTGATAACAAAACATAATTGTGTGGTCGACTAGAAAATTTGTCTCTGCAGTTTTATGGCTGGAAAAGGACACTGTGTCCCACCTATAGGGGATTGCTTTATTGTCAAATGATTGATTGATTGATCATTTGTTCAGCTGATAATTATTTTGAAACTAGAATCGTGGGCCATATTAAAGAGCTCAGGAAGTAAACATGTTGATGTAATCAGAATAATTTATGTAAATTGCCTTTGACTCAATGTCATATGCACATTAAACAGTACACAGAAAGAATTGAGTGTTTGACTGATGTGTTATGAGACAATATTATTCAGAAATATAAATGAAGGTTTCCTGTCTGTTGCAATTTTTAAGTTAATAAAAAAAAAACACACTTCATTTGACACTGTATTGATTGACTTTGTCTCTTGTGTATAATATCACTGATTCCTGATTATATAATGTTATTAGCTGCATGTATTGGTGGCGCAGATGCCTCCAGTAGGGAGAGTCCAGTGTGGATGAGGTGGGTGGAAAGAAGCTTCATGTGCTGCCAGTAAGCGCAGCCATTGTCTGACCTCTGCTCCTCCTCTCTCCTCAGTTTAATCCTGATGATAAGTCAGCGCAGCACCATAACGCCCACCACTGTCTGGAGATCACAGTCAACTGCAGCCCCAACATTGACCACTGCATCATCCGCTCCACATGCACAGGTAACGCACACACTTATTGCTGTACCTGTACAGTCGAAAAACAAAGGGAATGTGCACTTTGTGAACAGATGCAACATGAGCTTCATAAAAGTAGCATTTACTGCAGGGCTCTTTTATTATTTTACATCATATTGTACAGGTGTTTGTGTGCGTGTAGTCCTGTGTAAGCATTTACAGCCATGGCTTTTTTTTTTTTATGCTTTGAGAAGAACACAGAGTCCCTCATTTTGGTTTATCATTAACAGTGTGTTCATTATGTCCCAGAATAAGAGAATAAATTCATTTGTCATTTAGGTCCTGGACTCAAAACCATAAAAACCCTGGAGCCGTTGTTCTTTTGGCAACTACCTTTAGTATGACAGTTTGTTCTCTCTTATGAAAAACTTTCGGGTTGTTGGATTGCCGTGATGGGAAATCTGAAAAAAATAGTTTCAGTATTTCACATTATAATTATAAGATTGATGCTTAGTTTCTATCGGGCTGGGTCATGTGACTTTGTGTCATGAAATGTCACATCACATGAAGCATTAATAAATTGTACCTCTGGATAGTAATATGTAGTATGTGCAAACTACTTCTAACCTGACTGGGCCGGATCAGAACATCTGGAAAGTCGTCATTGGAAACTGTAAGTGGGCAGCTGATTGGATGAAGCATCTCTCTGTCACAGGCGAACTTAAACCAATCAGATCAATGATTCAGATCAGTCTAACTCAAAGAGAATGAAAACATCTTTTCCATTAAGAAAAAGCCTTCAGTGTCGTTGTTTGCTTTTCTTTAAATGAAGAAATACTCTCCAGTCCTGATGTAACGGATGCTAGGAGCATCTACACTAACCTCTACGGGAGCCGCCATTGTAGTTTAACAAACAGGGTCTTCTCGATGAATCACAACTACCTCACAGTGGAGGACGCTGATTGGTCCGATACCACTGTAGTTTGGCCCCAAATGCATAGATTGAAAACTGGCAAGATGGATTCTCGTGTGAGCTCGCAAGTCCAGCTGCCTCACAAGATCTGTCTACTTCTGCCTAGAAAACATCATGACCTTTTGATATTTTGTTTTAATGAGTACTGTGTTGTCAGTACTGACATTCCAGTATTGCTCTTTATGTACGTGTTGCCCGGCAAAGCTAATTTTTTTAACCTGGTAAATGCATGTTATTTTGTTATGTGAATAATGTGCATTTAGCAGTAATTAATCCTGTAGTATCTATGTCATACGTCTGATATAGTGTGTGTGTGTGTGTGTGTGTGCATGCACTAGTTTTATGTTGGCATCCAGAATTAAACATTGTGTCAGTCATCGATTTATGTCTTCATAAAATATTCCAGTTTCTCAAATGTAAGAGTGCCTGCTTTTGTCTATTCATGTCACTGTAGATTTAATGCATTTTTTTGAGGGTTTTTTTTTTTACTGTTGGTCATTTGATAAAGGAAGAGATCATGTCCTACTGTAGTGTGACGCTTCTGTTTTCGTCTGTGTTTAGTTGGTTCAGCTGTGTGTGTGAGTGGCCAGGGAGCGTGTCCAACCATCAAACACTGCAACATCAGCGACTGTGAGAACGTAGGACTGTACATTACAGATCATGCACAGGTAACAATTAATTTCCTCCCCCCAATAGTTTGCCATAAATGCATAAACATGTAGAAAACAAATGTTCACATAGGCTTTTCTTCTCTTGTTGTCCGTTTCAGGGCATTTATGAAGACAATGAAATCAGCAACAACGCGCTAGCAGGAATTTGGGTGAAGAACCACGGAAATCCCATCATTAGACGTAACCACATCCACCATGGACGAGATGTTGGAGTGTTCACCTTTGACCACGGCATGGTAAATACACATCAACTATTTCATGTCATACATTTTTACTTGAAGAAACACCACAGACCCTCTAACACGTCCTCTTCTCTGTTTTGCAGGGTTACTTTGAGAACTGTAACATCCATAGAAACCGTATAGCAGGCTTTGAGGTGAAGGCCTACGCCAACCCCACGGTGGTGCGCTGTGAAATCCATCACGGCCAAACAGGAGGCATCTATGTCCACGAGAAGGGGCGGGGACAGTTTATAGAGAACAAAATCTATGCCAATAACTTTGCTGGCGTGTGGATCACGTCCAACAGTGACCCGACGATACGGTGAGGACACACACTTCACACAAGACCGCTTTTGTATAAAACCTATAGAGGGGTTTGGTTAGTGATTGGGTGCAAAATAAAACATGCAAGGCAAAATATATAAAGGTCGACACGGACCATTGGAAAAAAAAAAAAAAAAACATTGTTATGTCAGAAAATTCACTGTTAGCATCTTAGGCATTTATTCCAAAACTGTTCTTTTCCTTCATATCCAGGGGAAACGCTATATTCAACGGTAACCAAGGTGGGGTGTACATATTTGGAGATGGACGGGGTTTGATAGAGAGTAACGACATCTATGGTAACGCCTTGGCGGGAATCCAGATCCGAACCAACAGCTGCCCCATTGTACGGCACAACAAGATCCACGACGGACAGCATGGGGGCATCTATGTGGTAAATAAATTCTTCAGTTTACCAGGAAATATGACTTATTTGTATCGCATTTGGTTCAAATATAACCCTCTTCCAGCAAGTACAGATAATCGTTCAGATTTTAATAAAAGCTTAAACTATTGGAAGTGTTTGAAGCTGATCCGGCTTTGTGTTTCAGCATGAGAAAGGCCAGGGGGTGATTGAGGAGAATGAGGTTTACAGCAACACACTGGCTGGAGTCTGGGTGACCACAGGCAGCACTCCAGTCCTCCGCAAGAACCGCATCCACAGTGGCAAACAGGTAACATGGTTAAACATTGTAAACGCTGTCTAACACCTATATAAAGACTTGTATCATGCTTGTATCAGAGGCAGGACTGTATGAGCTGCGATAACATTTACTTTTTTGTTAAGATGCCTGATATACTTGCATGTACGTGCACTTTTACTGTGTGAACAGGAATATTCTGTTTTTATAACTGGCAGCTTTATTCTTGGTAACAGGGAGACTAGATAGCAGGTTGTCAAAGGTTAATATATACACCCTCAGTGAGCTTACTAGCACCTGAGCTACTCCGTTTTATGTAAATGTAAGATAAGACAAGCTTTTATTGGTTCCCAGAGGGGAAATTCAGGTTTATGTAAACATTGTCACACATTTTCCCAAAATCTTGTTCCTGAGTTACCTCAGTAATGTAACATTTACATCCTCAGATAATCTGAAATTGAACTAATTGAGGCCTCCAGCTGTCTTTAGTTTGCTCAGCCTTCCCACAGAACATTTACTTCCACTACTGTCTGCTTCCCTGTTGTGGGAAAAAAAACTTGTTTGTTGAATTTACATCATGGTCATCTGTTCCCTTATTTTTTTTCATAGGTTGGCGTGTATTTCTATGACAACGGACACGGTGTGTTGGAAGACAATGACATCTACAATCACATGTACTCTGGTGTACAAATAAGGTAACGATCACCCCCTTCTAGCAGCTTAATCTCTGAACATACAAAATATATTTTATATTTAACTGAAGCATGTTTTCTTTTGACTCAAATAATTGTTGAATCTTTGACAGGACGGGGAGCAACCCAAAGATCCGGCGCAACAAGATATGGGGAGGCCAGAATGGAGGGATTTTAGTCTACAACTCAGGTCTGTGTGCGTCCCTCTGGCACTCTTTTGTCTCATATATGTATGGTATGTGTGCGTCTAATCCTGCTGTTTCATATAACAGGTCTGGGCTTCATCGAGGACAATGAGATCTTTGACAACGCGATGGCCGGGGTGTGGATCAAGACGGACAGCAACCCCACACTGAGACGAAATAAGATTCATGACGGCAGAGACGGTGGCATCTGCATCTTCAATGGAGGCAGAGGTATTTAAATAGCCAGATAATCTAGAAAATGTCACATAGAATCTGAAATTGTCTTCCTTTTTGTTGGATATATGTCTGAAGTTAAATAGAAGGTTGATTGTACCATTAAATGTTTCAGTGTTTTGACTTGCATACCAAAATTAGGGCATGTTTTTACCTGTTACCTTGGTCTTAGTTCTTGTCAGTTTACTGCTGTATATCTTCCATCTGAAGTATGAAATCTTTCTCTGCAGGTTTGCTGGAAGAGAACGACATCTTCAGGAACGCTCAGGCCGGTGTGCTCATCAGCACCAACAGTCATCCAATACTGCGCAAGAACCGCATTTTTGATGGCTTTGCTGCAGGTTAGCTGTTTTTTTATTTTTTAAATAAACTCCATATGAGCACACATGCCATCTCAGTTTATATCTCCTTGTGCTGATTTTCTTTTTCTTCTCCAGGTATTGAAATCACTAACCACGCCACAGCCACGCTGGAGGGCAACCAGATCTTCAACAACCGCTTTGGAGGCCTGTTTCTGGCCTCTGGAGTCAACGTCACCATGAAAGGTAACTAACTGCTTTGTGGACAGTAAAACTTTACCTGATGTTTGTATCTGCCCTCTAATCACTCTCCCCTGTTCACTTTGTGTCCCTCCTCTGTTAGATAATAAGATTTTGAATAACCAGGATGCCATTGAGAAGGCAGTGAGCAGAGGGCAGTGTCTCTACAAGATCTCCAGTTACACCAGTTACCCAATGCACGACTTCTACAGGTAAAACTGCGTCAGATAAAAACGTTCAGAGCAATGTTGGCACCTTTTAAGTAGAGCTGAAATGACACAAAATGTATCTGCAACTATTTATAGTCAGTTTAACTGTCGTACAGGTATTTATAATGCAAAAATGTCACACATTGCCTAGTTTCAGCATTCAGTTTTGAGGATTTGTTCCTTTTTTTTGTCTTTTGTTAAAGGTCTTTTCTTTGGGTTTTGAACAGTTGGTTAGAATAAACGTGAAGATGTGACCTTGAGCTTTGGGAAATCGTGATAGGCATTTTTCTGACCAAGCAATTAATCGATGAAGAAAATAAGCTGCAGATTAATCAATAAAGAAAATAATTGTCCCTACATTTAAGAAACTGTTAACTTAAGAGGTGGTTAAAGGCCTGTTAGATGAGTAATTGTCTCCCATTTGTCTGTTTTTATTTTATCCTCATTGTGTTATGTAAATGAATCTGTTTTGTCTCGTTTCTCCAGATGTCACACCTGTAATACAACAGATAGGAACGCCATCTGCGTAAACTGCATCAAAAAATGCCACCAAGGGCATGATGTAGAGTTTATACGGCACGATCGGTAAGACACTTCTGGTTCCTTCCAGCCTTTTTTTTCTCTTGATTTTTAATATAATATATATTTAATCTTAAACTGCAACCGCTTTGTAGTTCAACAGTTTTATATACTTAAAGGGTAGTTTAACATTTTCTTTCACTTATTTGCACTTATTTACTGTGGCTCATAATCCCTGGTATCTGCTCCTTCCAGGTTTTTCTGTGACTGCGGAGCGGGAACATTGTCCAACCCGTGCACACTGGCCGGGGAGCCCACACACGACACAGACACTCTGTATGACTCAGCGCCGCCCATCGAGTCCAACACGCTGCAACATAACTGAAGGCATCCGGTCTAGTTACACTCTCACATAAGCATACAAACACATTACATTGCACACAGACATACGCACACACGCACACATGCGCAGTTACATACACACATCCACTTGCAGCCATAAGGACCCAGAGAGACTCTGTGAAATGCGGCGCTCTCGGACGGGATCACGGTGAAAGAGGCTGCAGAGGAAGCAGCTTCCTGCCCGCTGCAGTGGAGGCAGACTCCACTAGAGAGAGCAGTGGAGCTGAGGGTAGACTGACAGAACGGCCACAAGAGATTCCTCACTCGAGTATTTCTTATTGCAGTCTGTAGACAAAGAAGATGGGAAGAGAAGGGCTCTACAGAGGAGCTGTCGATGATCCCACACACCCCCCTCACCCCTCCCGGCGTTAATCCTCGGCTCCTGGCCCACTTCTTCTTCTTCTTCACAAGAACTGCTGTCAAAGAGACTTCCTGCTTCCTCGCAGCTGCCATCCCCATTGGCTGCCCAGGCAGTTGTAACTAGGCAACGGATGGGCGGATGTTGCTCTGTTGTGTGTGGATAAAGAGCAAGATTGTGTGTGTGATGGAGCACTTGGGCTTTTTTTAAAATATGTTCTGATCAATGGATTTTATTTCAATGCTTTCTCATGTAGTTTTGTATTTTCAAGCAAAAAGCTGACTGTATTTGAATGTCTTTTATTTTATTATATATTATTATTTCTTTGGTTAGCCGTCACCCGCCCCTCCCAACCCCGACACCCGTGCAACTGGCAGAAAACTCCAAACTCGCCAGTGGTTGAGTTCTTTCTGTGAAGAGAATCTCCGTTTAAACACCTAAAAAAACCCTCTCGCAGTATATTAGCTTAAATGGCAGGGTGGGGCTCGCACAAATTGTATAAAGGTGTGTATGTGAGTGTTGTTAAATGTGTTTGGTGTACAGTGAAAGTTGTGTGTGTGCGCGCGCGTGCGTGTGTTGTATATGTTTATAAGTTGATGCAGGTCAGGTTTTGTGGAGAGGGTTTCATAGGAGGCTCCACGAGCTCGCTTTGAAAATGGAACTGAATGAGTCGATCTGCAGTCCCACCCGTCTCCCCCCCCTCCCTTCTCTCCCCCCGGTGTATCGTGGTGACTGCTGGCTGCCCTCATGCAGCCTGAATCGTATGCTAGTACCATAACATCTAGACTTAATATATTGTGAAGTATTCAATAACCATTATGTAGATGCTAGTTGGAATTCAAAAAGGGGTATACTTTCTTAGAAAGACAAAAAAGAAAACAGGAAACTGGCCATTTCTAAGAAAATAAAACTTTATTAGATCAGAGGTGTCTGTCTTTAAATTCACTGGCTGTTATGAAATTCACACCTTGCAGAATTATTAATTATTAATGTCTGGTTTTATAAAACTGCTTCTGAAGAACGCGGGGATGAACAACACTTTTTACTTGACTGCTTTCAGCTGATTAGATTTTCTGTCAGTACAGTCCTGCAAATTAAAATGTACACATGCATTAGCAAGAGCAATATAATTCACAGAGAAACTGTTACTCAAACAAAACAGACCTTTGTAACAGCTGATGATCTTTTGGGATTGTGGTGATATCTGGGTTTTACACCATTCATATTTATGTAAGTGTGATTTTTCAAACTAAGGAGATTGTTTTTAGTGGTCACACATTGGTGAACCTATTGGTCCTGACTTGTTTTAAAACTGACATTCCCAGTAGCTTTTTAGCCACAAATTAGAGAGGAAATGTATTGGTGGTCTTAACATGAAACAGGTCTTGAGTGTTTAAAAACTGCTTAAGGATTAACAAATGTATCCGATAACTCCTAATTAATAGTTTATGGTTGCATTCCACCAAGTCTGACACATTCAGAATATTACTATTGAGTAAGATTGCAACTAATATTTCTTTATCGATGGATAAGACGATTAGAAAACATCCATGTTAGAAGCTTTTTGCTTACAAAAACAAGCGGTCGAACATAAAGAGGGTTAATTTTTTTTTTTTTCAAATATTGACTAATTGTTGTTCAGTAAGCTGTATCATATGAAAGTTACCTCTGACAAATATTAGTTTAAAACTTCACTGTGCTATATTTATTGAAGTGTTTTTGTGCTGTAACATACAGTGCAATGATATATTCACCTGCTATGGATGTAGCTGAAGTGTATATTTAGTAACATGCTGTACACAAGGACTATTTTTAAGTTCTGGTTCGCAGTGAGAAGAGGGACATTTTTGTATTCCAATGTATCTACAACATCTGGTGTGTGTGTGTGTGTAGAAACAAGTAACGTTACAGAATGCAAGTTTATCGATGTTGTCACAAACCTCCAAAACATGTCTGAATCTTTGGAAAATGTGCATTAAATGATGCATGTGACCCCCACAATAGGTGCACATTAGACCCCCAAATCTGAGAGGATTTTCTCCTAACAAGTCCTAAAGTAAAGTAAAGTAACTAAACATGTTTAGGTTTGAAGATAATTAAGTCTTCATAATCAATGACTAAATTAGGAAAGAATCAATTAAAACCACCAACTTTGGTCTTCCAACTGATGAAAAATGTGATAAAAGGGGACCCTCTACAATTCACTCAAGGACCCCTGTTGGTCCCCAGACCCCAATTTTAAAACCAATTATCTAGAATATCTGCATTTGAAGTTATGGTGCACACTTAAAAAGAAAAGAAAAGAACAACCTTAGATTTGAATACCTCACTGTAGGTACCAGAAGGACAAAGACAATTTGGAACAAGCGAGTGAAATTTGATTATAGTCATGAATACTTACAGTATTTGTTTACAGGGAACACAATAACATGTTGGCCTGACCACATTTAAAGGGGAACAAGTTATTTACATGCTGCATTATGTTTTAATGTATTCGTTACACACTAAGAAATCTCTCGACATTCTTGAAAAACAGCCATGACAGCTCATGACGCACACTAAAAACGTATGTAACACAAACTCACAGCACATCCAGAAATTATTCTTTATTGAAAAACTATACATTATAAGAGCTTTAGTGTGGTTGCCTACAGTATATGAACTTTGTTGGTCATGATGAACACATGAAGTCTAAAAAGAAATCAAGCTGTTTTTGCAGGAACACAGCGTGCCAGGATCTCTGTGATGTACGTGTTATTTTTGGCCACGAGCTCCTGCTTCATTCTCCTGAGCTCCTTCTTCACCTCTTCCTCACTCATGGTGTCGACAGACAGCGACTTGGCCTTCTCCAGAAAGTCCTGGATCAGGTTTTCCCCCACCTGAAAGACAGCCAGTACATCAGTTTGACAACAAGCTCAAAAACTACTGCATTTTCTGGGTAAATATTGTATCTCTAAAAAGCTTTTTCTGCCTCCAGACGAAGTGCATTTACATACTTTGTCATTCTAAAAAAGGTAATTGGAGAACTGTGGAATCCTTCAACTGAAGTTTGGGTCAGTTGTATCTCATTATGTCAACTTTTAGGTTTCTACTTACTGATGCACAAACATGCACAATACCATGTAATTTTAACACTGACAGGATCAAATCTTAACAATGGCTTTGTTTTATTAGTTGTTCCACGTGTCCTTATTGACTTTCCCAGAGAGCGAGCGCAGAGGCGAATTCCCGCCATGTCTGAAAAACGTATAATACCAAGAGCTTAAGGGAACTAATGATCACAACCAATGAGTACTTTAGATATTTGACTTTACATTTACATAAACCTACTACAAGGGGTTTTAACTGGTTATGAATTTCATACTAATGCCTCTATATAACCTACATAAACCAATAAGACCTTCAGCTAGAAAACTATTTCTTTCTAGTTATTCTTAATGTCTTTTCAGTCAGATTCCCCTTAAAATCAATGAAATGCTTTTGTCTGCAGGGGACGCCAGAATCATGTTCCTTGTAGCTGCGTTAAAGCAGCATTAATTGCTTTTTCTGGTCACTTCTGAACAGCAGACAAGCTGTAAACACACCAGACATTATCAAGTTCTGGTTGCTTACAAAGAATACAGAGAAACATTTTCATTCATTTGGAGTCTCTGGCAACCTGACTAATTTCTTCAAGTCAATTTTTAAGTCTTTAGGTAAGAATTGAAGTCTACTGTTGGATGCTGAGCACTGTACTACAGTGGGTTATTTGAAATGAGGCTGGACTGAAACAATGAGATGAAAGACAATAAAACCCTCTGTAGAGCCGATGGGAACTACAGAGTCAGGTGATTACGCTTGTTGGGTTCTTACGTTTCTTGAATGACCCGTCAGCTACACAGACAGCACGAGGTTAGTGTGTGTGTGACCATGTATGTGCAGCAGGACACTTGGAAACTGAGCCCTACTTGTTTCTCCGTCCGTCGTCTCTTGGCCTCGGGCTCTTCCTCCCGCTCTGACTTCTCTCCCGCAGGTTCCTGGAACTCCTCAAGCTCCTCCGCTTTCTCCTTCGCCATGGCAACCACAGCTGGCGGGAAGCAAGCCAGCTCGGCAACGTGGATCCCAAAACTCTGGTCGCACACACCTGAACACACAGTCGGATGGCTCGCTCAGTCTGGAGACTTCATGGCACCGACGTATTTACAGTTTTAAGCATTTCAAACGCCACATGATGTGGAGATACTGGACAAAATAATCTCAACTCAAGGTTCTCTTACTAGCTTTTTTTGCTTAGTTGCTGAAACAATCAGTCAATTAACTGACTATCAAAACATAATACATCATTTTAATGATAAATTAATTGGCTAAAGAAGTTAAAATAGTAGAGTAAAATGTATAGTACTCTTTCCAACCCTTGTCATTTGTCTGAACACACAAAAACCTACATCTTAACACAATCTGTGTTTCCCAAAACGTCAAACAATAAATAAATCTCAACAATGAACTGATTAGAAAGGAGGATTTGCTTCCTGTCTCTCTTCAATCTTGCTAAACCTAGATTTGGGTTTGTGTTCTACAGGTCAGACAATAGATTTTTTTGACTTTGCCAAACTAAATAATTAAGTAATTAACAAATCCTCAGTTAAGAAACAGCTGTATTTACTGTAGCAGAACCTCAAACCCGGCACAACTCACTGTCTCACATTTCTAGAGTTCAGAGTGCAAACTAAATCAATCAATCTGAGTGTATTTCTTCCTTTATATCAGTTTACATCCATATTAGGGGCTAGGAAATGCATTAAGGTAATGCAAAACCACATGTGCGTGAGTGTTGTGTGCTGACCTGGTTTGACTCTGTACAGCATGGTGAGTGTGTTGTGGGAGGTCAGCGCTGTGACGTGCAGGTTGTGGACGGTGGCCTGCTGCGCCGCCAGCGCCGTCAGCTCATGAAAGTGAGTGGCAAACAGACAGAAAGAGCCGATTTTGGAGGCGATGTGTTCGCTGATGGCCCAGGCGAGTCCGAAGCCATCGTATGTCGACGTGCCTCTGCCGAGCTCGTCGATTATGATGAGCGAGTTCTCCGTGGCTGAGCTGGAGGGGAGAAACAGATGATGAGGAAAGCCTCCTCCTTGTTTAGTGTGAATGCACTTGTGTGTCTGTTCTTACCGCAGAATGGCAGCTGTCTCCAACATCTCCGACATAAAGGTGGACACTCCTTTCACCTGGCTGTCTCCCGCTCCCACCCTGGCCAGGACGCTGTCAATCACGCTAAGCTCCGCCTTCTCGCATGGCACAAAGCAGCCGATCTGAGCCATCAGAGCGATCACACCCACCTG